TTTTCAAGGCACAGTAACAGGTCTTTGAGAGCCAGAATTCTTGCTGTTTCTCAGGTGTTCAAATACTTATGTTCAGCAGTGCAAGACAAATAAATTCTTTAAAAATCATACAATGTGATTTCCTGAATTTTTTTTTTTTAATTCTGTCTCTCAGAGTGGGAATGCACCTACAATGTGAATTTCAGACCCCTCCATGATTTCTAAGTGGGAGAACTTGCAAAATCGCAGGGTGTTCAAATACTTCTGTTCCTCACTGTATATAAAGTAATAAGTAGTATGATAGAGCAGATGAGTACTTCAAATGTCCATAGTTTTTATGACTGGCAAAAAAAGCTGTTAAAAAGATGTGAAATAAACATTTAAACAGAACCACAATGGTTCGTTAAATTGTTTGGATGTGTCTTTTACTCACTGGAGCAGAAATGCTTTAGCCAGTGCTTAGTAGTGCAGTTCCAGGCAATATCTTGACTGAAATATCTCAGCACCTATGTAAGAATTGATTCTTATAGGCTCTAGTTACTTTATAAGATTTAGTTACTTTTCATAACTTTATTTTCCTTGCTTATATATATTACAGCTGTATTGATGATTGTCCAGGACTACTGAGCTTTGGTTACTTTTAATATCTTTATTTTCCTAGCTTATATATCTTACAACTGTATTGATGAGAGTCAAGTGATACTGAAATAGAAACTGCCTGCTTTAACTTCTGTGTAGAGACAGGATGTCTGTATGTGATATTTCTGTATACGAAATGGTGAATGGCCGAATAATGTGAAAGCGCTTTGAGTGTGCTGTAAAAGCGTAGAAAGGCGCTATACAAATATAAGACCATTTACCATTTACCTTCACCTAAGCCTGTTTAGCATACTCACTAGATCCTGCTTTGTCCTGCAATAGCTGCTACAGATAGGAGGTCTGCAGCACAGACAACCCATTGTTCAGTGTTCATTGATCAAGTTGCTGCCTGAATACCACAGCACACACACACACACACACAAACACGCATCACACACACACACACACACACACACCTGGTTTCTATCACATTCCAGCAAGCAGGCATGAGCAGGGGTTGGCATGCTCACGCCAAATGGCCAATATGATTATGAAGTGCGAAATGTTGTACCTCTGTCCAGGTTGGACCAGCCCAAGTAGATAAATGTAATGAGAAAACGGTAACTCGTGGCTCAGAAAACAGATTTCTTGCAGGAGCTCTCTCTCTCTGATCCCAGCACTACCTTGTCTTTCCTGTGCCCAGACTTTGAGTAAACTTGCTATTGATTTTATACAGTCCTCTCCTGTCTTCACCTCTCGTGCTTTCAATAAAAGAACTGGGAAAAATTTTAACACCTATTTGATGGATTGCCATGAACTTTAACATTTGGACATCCAAAGTCAGCAACACCATGAGGTTGACACTTAGTGATTGCCAGGTTATTTTAATTTATTGGCAGTTTTTAACTTTTAGATACCTGCAAAACGATCGCCATAGCTCTTCATAGTGCTACTATACTAAATTTAGCATGGTAAAATGCTAAACTAAGATGCTGCAATATGGTATCCATTGCATCTGCTAATGTGTGTTTGTAGTTGTTATGAGCATGTTGGTATGCTAATGTTAGCAAAGCACTGCTGTGTTAAAGTGCAGCTTCAAATAGTAACTGTTGAAGAGAGAGAGAGAGAGAGGAAGTGGGGTAATTTAAGTGTCCCCTACCCACTGATATGTTACCATATGTTTCCTTTACTAACAAAGACACCTTATTTTGCTTTTATTCAGTGATTGTGTATATATTTCTGTATCAGACATCAACTCTTGCACATAAACTCTAGTTTTAGAGCAGGAAATAGTGAAATGATTGAAGCATAAGTCCCCTTTTAGTAAGGAATATTAGTATACTAATGTGGATATCTATTTATTGTACACATTCAGACAGTACAAATAAATTATTTATACAGATGTCTAACAGTCTAATGGCAGGTCATAAGTAAATGTTAAAAGATACTGACATTTGGAATGGTTTAATTTTATATCAATCAACAATGAACTGTTTAAATAACTAACCTATTACACATAGTAGTAGCATATCACACACAATATAGTATTTTCATTTTGTTGCTCTTTTATTGTACACTGACACATTTTCACACTTGCAGTGTCTATGCTCAATATTGAAAAAATAAAAACAAACAGAAGTAACACAACAGTTTTAAGTAAAAAGCGCTGCAAGCCTCATCTCACAGGATGTACAGAACACAAATAAGATTTCACATGAATTTCACAAGGGGAAGCATTTTTTGCATAGCATGATGATGCTATAAATATTCCACAGGAATAAACAAGAGGAGGTTCATAAAGAACTACACGTCTACATATCTGCACTGTGCACACATACTTTAACAGATAGCTTACATTTTTAGTGATAAAATAATAAGACTTTTAAAGATCATCAGAGTGTCTTTCAATTTATTACTGTGTTAACTACCACACTGAAAAATCATGTAGAAACATCACACAAGGATGTCCAAGAAATATTATCAATAGTTAATACCATCCAGACACTGTCCTGCAGTGTTTCAGACTGAGCTAGCTGCACTTCTTTCAAGTGATCCTGATTCTTGTAAACACTTTGAGTTCATCAGTTACAGTAGCAATGTCGCCTGCAGCTGTCCTCCTGTCTGAACTATTTAACAGTGATGAGTGAGCCAGCCTATCAAAGAAGGTTAAAACTAAATGATTAGTTGGCTTGTTCATTCACTGAAATGATGAGCTGTGGTTTGGTGTTAGCCATATTCTGAGGCAGGGGGCCCTGCCACCAGTTTACAGTAGCCTGGCAATGCCCCGAGGTCAATGTACAAGGAGCCCTTTCTTCTCATGTGGCCAGAACTATCAGAGTACAGAGAAGATTCTGCAAAGGAGTAAAAATGCATGTATAAATAGTGCACAGCAATAGTATATATAGCATTCAGTGTCTGTGGTTGCAAATAAGTATAATAGTGTGTTATTTCTGCTGGCAACGTATCCATAAACGTCTTTCAATTCAACTTCAGCAGCTATGTCCTTACCATGTGTGATGTCCTGGTGCTGACTCTGTTGCCGTAGCATGGTGTGGGTAGCCTCCTCCAGTGCTGAGTCCAGGCTCCAGCAGCGTGGCTGATCCTCCCTGGGGGGATTGATGGCCTCATCCTTCAGCAGCTTGGATGCTGAGCTCCGCAGAGTGGGGTTTCTCTCCAGGGCCTGCTTCAGAAAGGTGTGCATGGCCAAGCTGCAGTCCTCTGCTATGTCTTCCAGAGGGGGTGCCTGTTTGTGGATCTGTGGGGATAGAGATAAGGCAAAATTGGAGTGAGAAAATTGTATCATGAGAAAAAAAAGGAAAAAAAAACAGAAATGGCAATGAAAGCTTCCAAATCAGCCACGTACAGCAGAACTCCCCCAGCAGCTGTGACCCAGTTTTCTCTTTTGAGTATCATTGAGAGTAGCAGCTTGAAGAAGTTTGACTGTCATTAAAATGAGTGAGGGGAAAATAGCAATGCTCAGCCATGTAATACTACTTTCCCATGATGGCAGTTTCACAAGGAAGTGAGTAACTGTCTAAATCACAAGCACTGATTAGCATCAAAAACAGAAGTGGGACTTGAAAGCAAAAAAACCCCATGTAATGGAAAACCATTAAAAGAAACAGGAGCAGTGACTGTGTGAATGGGCCACAAGTCACAGAATGTGAACAGGCTCAATAAGCCTTTTGATCTCACAACTGGGACTGTGGAAGACCTGAACAAGCTCATGTAAAGTGTCACTTGTCAAATGCAGCAAGATCCAAGATACAGTATGACTGTCTACTGGCAGGTAAGTGTGATATAATAGTTATGCTAGTGGCTCTCTACAGGTGTGGTGGTAACTGCATAGACAATCTAACTCTGAAATGGATAAATGCTGAGGTCCAAAACTTGCTTTTGATACTGTGGTGAAATAAATGTAATGACTGGCCAGAGGGTGATGTCAACAGAAAACAGCAAATTCTTTGTTGCAAACAGTAATTGTGCTGGTCATGTGCTCCTGCCCATGAATCATAACAGGGGGTCCAGGCACCCTGTCACAACTTGGACTGGTGCCCCACTGACCTTAGGCAATGGAGAAGCCAGGAGAACTGGCCAACACTGCAAGAACTAGGGCCAGAAGTAGTGCAGCCAAAGTTAGCTGAATAAAGCATGGTGTCTCATTTTTACAAAAAAATGAACTATTTGATTCTTAATAATATATTGCTTATTACAGTTGAAAGTAAAGGTAATGGCATTTCCTGGTTTTCTGCATAAACTGGTCATGAAATGTGATCTGATCTTTACCAAAGTCACAAATATTAACAAACACAATATTTTTAAGCTCATAAAATACAAATAGTTGTGATCTTTCATGTCTTTATTGAACATACAGTGGGTACGGAAAGTATTCAGACCCCCTTAAAATTTTCACTCTTTGTTATATTGCAGCCATATGCTAAAATCATTTAAGTTCATTTTTTTCCTCATTAATGTACACACAGCACCCCATATTGACAGAAAAACACAGAATTTTTGACATTTTTGCAGATTTATTAAAAAAGAAAAACTGAAATATCACATGGTCATAAGTATTCAGACCCTTTGCTCAGTATTTAGTAGAAGCACCTTTTGAGCTGATACAGCCATGAGTCTTTTTGGGAATGATGCAACAAGTTTTTCACACCTGCATTTGGGGATCCTCTGCCATTCCTCCTTGCAGATCCCCTCCAGTTCTGTCAGGTTGGATGGTAAACCTTGGTGGACAGCCATTTTCAGGTCTTTCCAGAGATGCTCAATTGGGTTTAAGTCAGGGCTCTGGCTGGGCCATTCAAGAACAGTCACGGAGTTGTTGTGAAGCCACTCCTTCGTTATTTTAGCTGTGTGCTTAGGGTCATTGTCTTGTTGGAAGGGGAACCTTCGGCCCAGTTTGAGGTTCTGAGCACTCTGGAGAAGGTTTTCGTCCAGGATATCCCTGTACTTGGCCGCACTCATCCTTCCCTCGATTGCAACCAGTCGTCCTGTCCCTGCAGCTGAAAAACACCCCCATAGCATGATGCTGCCACCACCATGCTTCACTATTGAGACTGTATTGGACAGGTGATGAGCAGTGCCTGGTTTTCTCCACACATACCGCTTAGAATTAAGGCCAAAAAGTTCTATCTTGGTCTCATCAGACCAGAGAATCTTATTTCTCACCATCTTGGAGTCCTTCAGGTGTTTTTTAGCAAACTCCATGCGGGCTTTCAGGTGTCTTGCACTGAGGAGAGGCTTCCGTCGGGCCACTCTGCCATAAAGCCCCGACTGGTGGAGGGCTGCAGTGATGGTGGAATCTTAAGTGCAGCAGAAATTTTTTTGTAACCTTGGCCAGATCTGTGCCTTGCCACAATTCTGTCTGTGAGCTCTTCAGGCAGTTCCTTTGACCTCATGATTCTCATTTGCTCTGACATGCAGTGTGAGCTGTAGGGTCTTATATAGACAGGTGTGTGGCTTTCCTAATCACGTCCAATCAGTATAATCAAACACAGCTGGACTCAAATGAAGGTGTAGAACCATCTCAGGGATGATCAGAAGAAATGGACAGTACCTAAGTTAAATATATGAGTGTCACAGCAAAGGGTCTGAATACTTATGACCATGTGATATTTCAGTTTTTCTTTTTTAATAAATCTGCAAAAATGTCAAATATTCTGTGTTTTTCTGTCAATATGGGGTGCTGTGTGTACATTAATGAGGAAAAAAATGAACTTAAATGATTTTAGCATATGGCTGCAATATAACAAAGAGTGAAAAATTTAAGGGGGTCTGAATACTTTCCGTACCCACTGTACAAAGTGATGGTGGAAAAAGTCATGGAAACAGTGTTTTACTAACTGGTTGAACCACCTTCAGTAGCAATAACCTCAAGCAGGTGCTTCCTGTAGCTGTGGATTAGACCTGCACAACATTCAGGAGGAACTTTGGACCATTCTTCCTGACAGAACTGCTTCAGCTCAGCCATATTCTTAGGATGTTTGGTGTGAATGTCTTGAGGTCATTCCACAGCATTTCTAATGGGTTGAGGTCTGGGCTCTGACTGGGCCAGAGGTGGAGTTTGTGTCTTCAAAGCCATTCTGTAGTACATTTACTTCAGTGTTTGATAAACTTTGGAATTCATTTTCCCCTCCACAATGACAAGCGGTCCATGTCCTTAGGCCGCAGAGCAGCCCCACATCATGATTCTCCCTCCACTTTACTTCACCACTGAGATTATGTTTTCATGTTGCTATGCAGTTCTCTTTCCATGCCATATGTAGTGCTGTGTGTTCTTTCCAAACAACTGTACCTTTGTTTCATCTGTTCACAGGACATTTTCCCAGTAGTATTGTGGTGTCAGGGTGGTCTTTGGCAAACTGGCATGGTGCAATATTGTTTTTGGAGAGCAATGGCTTCTTCTCGGTGTCTTGCCATGGATACCATGCCTGTTCAATGTGTTGTGTATGGTTGACTCATGAACAGAAATTTAAACCAACTCCAGTGAACTCTTCAAGTCTTTAGCGGTTACTCAAGGGTTCTTTTTTAACTCACTGAGCATTCTGCATTGTGTCTTTGGAGTGATCCTGGCTGGGCCCTCATTTCTATGGAGAGCAGCCACAGTACCAGATTGTCTCCATGCTGCTTATGAACAGCGCACTGATAAAGTTGGAGTGTTTTTATAAGTCAAGGGAGTTCTAAACCACACCTCCAATCTCGTTTCGTTGACTGGACTCCAGGTTTGCCAACAGCTGACTCCAGTTGATGTTTAGTGACATCCGAAGCCTCATGTTGCCATCACTTTGTATGTTCAATGGGCGTTAAGAAGTCAAATGTTCATGACTGTTTGTGTTTTACTTTTTCTTGTGACTGCACGTCATAGAACTAGGGTTTTACCTTTTACATGCATTTCAACTGTGCTATCCCTTTCTGAGGCCCTGTTTAGACTTGGTATTAAAATGCATTCTTGGTGATCAGATCACAAGTGGACAGTAGTAAAAACAATTTTAAACAACTGCCAAAACAGATTGTGATCCAACCACTGAAACCAGCTGCCAAGGTGGTCTGGGACACATCTGACCACATATGGTTTGTAGTGTAAACACAAATGTGTCCTGATGTTTCTCCGACAAGGATGTTCGAGGGAAATAAGTCATCAATACAAGATGTTGTAGTTGCTTTGGTGAGTGTGCACCAACTCTCAAAAAAGACAACATGGAAAGAAATGTCTAATACAAATCCATCATTGTTTTATGAAAGTTTTTATAATACAGTACATCCATGTCCAAATCTGACACTTGCCTTCTTCTTCCTCTGGTGCTTGTTTGGTAACAGACTGACTAGTTGTGCCTGTGACTGTTTGATATTTAAGTGGAAGTGTTGCAGCAGTAGTGAAATCTGAACACAAGTGGTCAGCTGGACACCTTGGACACGCATGTATACAGACAGGTGTGAGCGGCGATGTGTCTCAGTTGTCCACTTGTGTTTGGATCACCAAAGATGCAATTTAAAACCAAGTATAAACAGGGGCCTGTGTCTGTGTCCAGACTGGCCACCCTGTACAAAATGTTCCTAGATCCACTCTTGAGCACAGAGTGACTTGAAGTGTTGACGTCTGAACATGACTGGATACCTACTCTAGGTTACTGTTATGCACTCTAAATCAACAAACCACAGGCTCAAACAGAACACAGATTGTAGATATTGGTCTAAGATGCTAAAAACACATCTTAGCGAGCTGTAAGCTACAAGCCACATGGATAACAGCTGTGCACATACATTTCAGAATGACAGGACCACCAAATAGCAGAAAAAAATCTACTCACCGTTTGCTCAGTCAGAAACCATAGTCTGGTAATTGTATCCAAGTCCAAGAACAACTTTCAAAGCCATAAAGAATACAATACGCCTCTGTCAAACTTTTCAACACTCATTCCTCCTTTAGTCTCTGTTAACCATCAATATGGGGCATAATTGGCCTACTGTTTGAAAATGAATGCCAAATTTTCCCAAAAGATCCTGACAATATAAAAACAAAAGGAATAGACTATTTATCATCATTGCTGATGGTTCTAAAGGACAAGTCAAGAGTTACAATAGTCAATAGGCTTCAACCTCTGAAGACTATGAATGTTGACTGAATTTCTGTACAGTCTAGAGTTCCAAACTAATGACTGTTTTCATTATCAATTAATCTGTCAATTATTTAATTATTAACTTAGTTTTGCCTAAAATATACCAAAAAGTGTGAAAAACGTCCATATAATTTCAAAAACGGTGATACGTTCAAATTACTCGGTTTATCTAAGATATTTGGTTTATTTTTACATGTGACAAAGGTTTTAAAATATGAGGCATCATAACAAAATGATAAATTAACACTTTTTTGTGATCAACTAATCATCTTCAGTTTGAATCGCTATCGCAGTTTATTCAGTGATTGTTGAATTATAGCAATCAGGACCTAAATGGTAGACCAACCAACAGACAGACATTACCATGCATAAACCCACGCTACTAGCATGGCTGATAAGAAAATGTAGAGTACTTACAATGTAGAGGTAGGATGGGTAGGCAGTACGTGGGTATCTGCGGACCCAGGGAGGGCTACCAGTCTGCATGTGAATGATGGTGGTGCCCAGGCTGTAGATGTCTGTTTTGGTGTTATGTCCTCGACACAGGACAAGCTCTGGACTCATATACATCTAAATGAAAGAAGGGTAATATTACATTAACTAGAGAAATGCATTTCCTGTTGAAAATGCGTGTGGATGTTGATAGGCTGAAAGATCGCCCTGAAAATGCCTGAAATCAATTGCTGAAACAGCTGAAGAATGATGTTCAGAATTTTCATAGCATTCCTGTTTGTATTTATTTTTTAATAACCTTTATACTTTTTAAGAAGTTCAGCTTTTTTTCAACATTTTTTGGCACTTAATAACTCCTGCATACTTTCAGCTACAAATACTGTTCTGGTATCTAAATGTTCAGTTGTTCAGCATTGCATCTCATCCTTCAGCTATTTCAACAAAGAACCTCAGCCATTTCTTCTCAACCTTCAACTATTTCAACAAAGAACTTCAGCCATTTCTTCTCATCCTTCAGCTGTTTCAGCAGTTGATTTCAGGCATTTTCAGGGTGATCCATCAGCATATCGGCATCCACACGCATTTTCAACAGGAAATGCATTTCTCTAGTTACACATTTTTCTTTAAAGTTTGTTATTATTAATAATATGTTTTGAAAAGTTTACACTCAAGCTTTTAAGAGTTACTTTACTTTATATACTAATGGACAGCTTAAACCAGTGCATCTTTTTCTACATGATCATCAAGTGTTGTAGCATCGCTGTCAGAATCACGTCAGCTTATCATGAGCTAGGAAAAACAGCTTTGGTTCTAACATGACAATGAGCATTGCTTATTCAAAATTTGTTTACATTAGTTTATTTTGCTGAAATCAGAGAATTTTCTTTACTGTCAGAAAACTCAGCATAATCCTAGAAAGCAGGCATGAGGAGGGACGAGCTGGGCTGCCCCACTGACTAATCAGACCCAAGTTGAGCTGGGTAAATAGATCACTAAGTCTCGCCCCCTTAAGCAACCCAAGGCTTGAATAAAATAAATGTATTCTGATTTTCTATTTTTCTATCCCACATTCCATAAATAGAAAATTGAAAAAACAAAACCAAATTTTGACAAAATATCATTTCAGACTTCAATTTTATATTTTTCATTCTATATATTGAAAATTAAACCAGTAAGCATTATATGGAGCCAATTTATCCTTTCATTACAGGCTGACCTTTGCAACTTGTAAGAGTGCATTAGATCTGTGACTTATTTTCTTACCTCTGTACCTCTCAGGTCTCTGGGAATGTAAATATCCTCTGTCATCTGCACTGCCAGGCCAAAGTCCACTAGCACTGCCTTGTCAGACATCAGGACAATGTTACTGGCTAAAGAAAATGAAAAAAGAATAAGAGTTGTGATTTATACAAGCAGCAGAGACCTTGCCTTTTAGAGAAACTGTTGTGTACAGGACTTGCAGTGTCTATGCTTTGCTCTGTGGGCTGCCATTTCAGGTAAAGAGCATTTAATTGTGACATCTCAAACATGCTAAACCGACTTGCACTTTTTGCATATAAGGTCACTGAAGCCTCCTAAGAGGAAGTCAAGTTAAGTCACATGCTTTCACCAAAGGAACTTGACTGATAATTTCAGGAAAAGATTTTCATGAAAAGGCTCATCCATAATGCATAACTGCATCACAAAGAACCACAGCAACAAGTGCTTTGTTCCCATCAGTGCCACTGTGGTCCAAAAAACATGAAACTACCTCATATATAACCTCAGCTGAGCCCCACCTACTGCAGCTACTGTGTCTTCTTGTAATCTCAGTCATTAGCACCTGCATTTTTTGGTAGCATGACCTCACTACCTCTGAACATTTTCTCAGAAAACATCAAGTGATCCTACAGAGGAGGAAACTTAGTCAATAATGTGTGTAAGATAATCAGTGTCAGATTTCTGTGGTCTGCAAACTTTTCTGAGCTGTTTGTTGTAGCTTAGTACAATGAAGTATATCCATCAAGAACACACAACAATCAATGATGAATTTTTTTTTCCCATTTGCTCTTACGTTTGATGTCGTGATGGATGACGTTATGAGAGTGAAGGTACTCCAGGCCTCGAAGGACTTGCTTAGTCACCCAGATGATCTCAAATTCCCTCATGGGCCCGCAGCTGTCCAGCTTCTCCAGGACTGAGCCGCCCTCGCCGGCCTCCATGAACAGGTGGACGTTCTGGTCTGAGAGCAGAGCGCCGTAGAGCTCAGCTATGTTCTCATGTCGGAACCGGGCCTGAAACTCTACATCAGCTGCTTTGAAGTTCTCCATGAGGATCTGAGAGATGGATATGAGATGAATGCATTACCATAAACTATCATCATCCATCCATTACCTATACCACTTATTCCTGAATAGGGTTGCGGGGGGCTGGAGTCAATCCCAGCAGACACTGGGCAAGAGGCGGGGTACACCCTGGTCAAGTCATTATTTTATTATTTATTTTAGCTTTATTTTTTTTATTGTCATGTGACACGTACAACAAAATTTTGTTTGGAGCCAAGGGCCCCAGGTTCAGTGTCTTGCCCAAGGACACTTCGACATGTGGACTACAGGCACTGAGATTCAAACCTTCAACCGTCCGGTTGGGAGACAACTGCTCTACCAACCACACCACTGTCGCCCCCCTGTCATCATGGTTCTATTTAACTGAACTGTTCTCTAGTTTTGGAAATTAATTTATTTGCTTTGTTTTGATTATATCAATACCACTGTCATATGTGCTCAATTAATTTTACTTTAATGAACT